CGGGATAAAATTCCCCGTGCGTGTAAGGTGCGGATCATGGTGCGCCGTCGCGGCATATGGTGAAGCGGGCGGGCCCCACTGCCGACCCCGAGTTGGGCGCTTTGAAAGAAGAGGGCCTCTTGAAGCAAATGAAATAATACTTAACAATGATTATTAAATTTGACTAAGATTGATTTGATATTTTTTGGAAATTTCTATTATAAATCAAATCAGTATTGTAAGCATTTAAGCCTTCAGAATATTTCTATATCTATTTCATATACTTAAGAGTCCCTCTAATTTGGGGTGACCCATTATGTTATATGTCAAACCATATGCCGCTCTCTTGTGGGGGATCTACATTTCCATGTGCGCCAAAGGCGCAATGAAGAAAAGAAAAAGAAAAAGAGTCTCTCTCATTTTAATTGATGCATTGATAGAATTGGATGTTCAGATGAATTACTGCATATAAATAGGACCCAATAGATTGTTTAAAACGTGAATGGAATTGACTTAATTTAGATATATTCAGTGTCGACTGATCTTTCGACTTAATGTTAGCAGGTTCCAGTGATAAAATTCAGTACATTCCGTGAAATGTGGTACGCTAAAGTTAGTTTTAGCCATCATCTAAGTTTTCATGGATACGTGTAAGTCTCTGAATTGATGCCTTCCCTGTCCCATCATCCCAAGTTAATCTTGATTCTAGTTTGTTATTAACGCGTTTGAATTGTAATTTGGCCATTTCTATTATGCATTTTCATTGAAGAGGCTCCATATTATTTACCAAAGCTTATATTGTTTATTTGGCCATTATAAGACGTGCCTTTTCTGGTTATAGAGTATAAATCTCTTTTTCCCTACGGGGGGTAGTCATCTGGAACTTAAAACTAGAACTGGGATAATTTGTGAGATAAATTTTTAAGGTGTTAGTCACATAGAACTAGGAAATGAGATATTTTTTTATAGTGTTAGTCATGTATTATTTTTGTAGAACTAGAATTGTATTATTTTTTTAGTGCGTTAGTCAAGTAGAATTCTACTAGAATTAGAATTGAGATAATTGGTCATAATTATCCCACAAATTATACTACTTATATATATAACCATAAGTTCTCCTCTCTCAAATTATCCCACACATTAAAAAGAATACAATTGGGAAAAAAAGTGAAACGCCGCCTTTCTCCCTCTTGGTTAGATTCTCCGCCTAGAAAATTTCTCTGCCATGAAGTCAATCCGTTCATTTTTCTGCCTTTACTTTGTTTTTGTGATGATTAGATCTTTTATTATTATCTTTAAGATATATTACTTTATTAATAGCTTTTTGACGTTAAATTACTTTATTATTATTTGTTTGATCTAAGTTTTCTCTTCACAACAGCGGTTTAGGTTAAGAATATAGTATTGGTGGGTTAGTGCTAAGGATATGCAGACTATTTATGTTTTTTTATAAGTTAGAAAGCAACTTTGCGATCACATTGATGATTAGATGTTGAATGGTTAATGGTGATATTTACTATTATTAAATCGGATCAGTAAATTGATTGGGATATTTATTTGCTGTGTACATTTTTTTTATTTGCTGATATGGTTTCAGCGATCATGATGAGATTGATCCAAATGGTTAATGGCTGAAAAATGCTTATTTTTTTCTTTATGATGTTATGAGATTTGAACTTCGACATTTATGATCCTCCGCTAGAAGCTCCACGAAATGTTCCTGATGCAAAAGATGACTCCGATAAAGAAGACGAGTTACGGACTCAACGAGCAGCTGTAGGAGCTTGGAGAAATTCTATGGCAGATGCCATGTGGGATGATAGAAGCCATGTGGGATGATGGAAGTCGAGTCACTCTAGGGATTTAGATTTTTATTTATTTGTAAATTATTTTATTATTTAAGATGAATAGTGATGTTTTATTGCATTATATTTTATAGTTATTACTAAAATTTGCTTTTTAATATTATATTATTTTTAATATATAATTATTAACAATAGTAATTTATACCCACCATTACCCCCACCAAATTATCCTACTAAATTATGCAACTTCATAATATTATCCATCATTATCCCACCAAATTATCCTACTAAATTATGCAACTTCATAATATTATCCATCATTATCCCACCAAATTATCCTACCAAATTATCCCACTTTAAGAATTACCCATCATTGTTCCACTAAATTATCCCGATGTTAAAATATTATCCCACTTTACCAATTATCCCAGTTCTACTTAAAAAGTTCTAGGTGACTAACCCCCCCACGTGAGAAGCTGAGATTACGAATAGTATAAAATTTGCATCCACTTCAGTTGCGGGATAATTTGACCACTAAGAAAATTTGTGCATAAATGTGTTTGGTTCTCTTATGATGTCAATAGTTCTACTTTTAATGCATGTTATAAATAAATTTTTTTTTACAGTCAAATCTTTTTACCATTTTCTTATTGATGGTGGTCTAAGATTTGATTGTACAAATCTATGGGATCTTCCTATTCCTTTAAAAGTTAAGCTTGTTGTTTGGCTGGCTTTAAGGAATGCGCTGAATACTACAGATATTCTAACCAAAAAAGGAGTTTCTTTACAGAAGAGTTGCTGCTTGTGTAATAGAACAGATGAAGATCATTCGCACTTGTTTCTCAAATGTGAGATTGTTTACTCCATTTGGAGATCAATCCAATTCAAGTTGAGCACTTACAAAAATTTTGAATTGAATTCTATCAAAGATGTTTGGCTTCAGTGGTCTAGTGGATTCAATGGAGATTCTAATATGAAGAGACGTGTTTTCATCTGCTCTCTTATTTGGTGTGTCTGGCAGGAGCGCAATGAGAGATTGTTTTCTGGTAAGAAGAAGAGTTCTCTTGTTCTTTTGAACAAAATTGTGACTTTCTCAACATTTTGGCTAGGGGCTAAGGAGATTTCTGCTCGAGCTGCCAGATTAAGAGAAAGAAGAAGAAAAAGAGCTGCTGGTTTCACTATTGCTGTTGGGAACAAAGATGGAGCGGTCACAGTGATTCAATTGGGATGAATTTTTGCGGGTCTTATAGCTGCTGGATATGCTCTTTACTTTGTTTGAATGAAAACTTCGTAATCTCCTTCTGTTTTGTTTTTTGGTTACTTTTGACAAACTTGTTATATCAGTTTGTTTGGGGGAGGTTCTGTCCAGTTGTTTGTAGGAGATGGAGTTTTACTAACTGTAGTATTTTCTGTTGAACTTTAGTACATACTCTTGAGTCTTGATTGGGAGTATGAACTTTATTTTTGTAACAACCACTTTTTTTCTAATTTAGATGGCTGGAATATCTTTGGGTATTCCGTCCTTTTTCTAAAAAAAAAAAAAGATGCTTCAGCCTATGATGGTTGAGTGATTGCGGTTACACCTAAGAGAAAGAGAGGCCTTTCACTTAAAGGAAAGAAGATGAAAATTTATTAAGCTTCTTTCGTATTATATTATTTCATCATCAAAGT